TTAATAGAATCATAAATCAAGTATACAGAATATTGTATTTCATTACGAAAAGAACACTGAACAAGGAATGGGGGTGTATGTTAACAATATTATCTTCAACATCCAGCATTAATAGAATCATAATCAAGGAGACAGAAAATTGATTTTCATAATGAAAAGCACTCTCAATTTCATTTGAACTGATTTTCATATTTATTTAAATTATTTACTTCTCATATTACATCACCCAGGTTAAGCTTCCTCTATTGGCAATCTTACATGACTTGCAAAAATTTCTGGAATTCAAAGCTAGCTAACTTCTACCTATTGGTATTCTTGACCTTATTACTACATGCATAATTAACGCTAAACAGCATGAAGACATATGATAGATATCCACAAGAAAAAATTAATCAGCCTTCAATGATGAAAATTGTTGACATCCACAGATTTCAAGAAAATCTAGGAATTCAAGGTTTTAAAGTAACTTCCCTTATTCTTCCAGTTAGTTGAAATTAAGCATTGGCCAGGCATTCATATATTCAGTATTGCCATTAATAACCAGTGCTTTCTTACTAATGCAAGCAACAAATAATACATAAACAGACAATACTACTACACACGCAGAAAAAAGAGATATTTTGAATTTACTGATTTTGAGTAGATATAGGATTTAAATAAGAATACGGAGAAGAGGAATAGAATAAAAAATCAACCTGCTAAAGAGATTCGCAACGTCTTCACACTCACGTGCATTGTAGAACCATATTCCATTTACCTCTTGAGCAGCATTACGATACAACAAATATGGAACCTGCACTTCATACTCAAAATCTGCCAATAGATTCTCCACCAAATTATCTGCTCAAATCAATAAAAAGGGGCATCTTATCACAAATAGACCATCATCCATGCTTGTATTAATTGCATTTTGACACAATTTCTTATTAATTGCAATCAATTTCCTATATTATTCAACAAAATGTAACCAAATATAATGAGTAACCTGTATTCCGGCGATTCATTACTATAAACTGGAAACGAGGTTGAGCATTCCTGAAACGCCAGAACCAAAAATTAATGAAAACATTGTACCATGAAAATTGCACAATTCACATAAAATTCCCCACCCACCCAAAAAAAGCAAAATCAGAGGAATTGGAGCCAACAAAGTAAAAACCCCTAAAAACTCAGCCTAAAAACACAGTCGAAATTCAGAGAAATTCCGGGGAAAAAAACCACCTTTTAACCACAAAGAGAGAACCTTCCACATCCTTTCGACTCTGAAAAAATAAAAACAAAAAAAATAAAAACCTTCACACAGAAGCATTGAAAATCAATAAGTCAAACTCGGCAATAGATATTAGCCCGCATATCCACACGCACAGTACATAAATTCCTAGATTCAGTGCATGTGATACCGTACCCATTGGCTTGTATCAACGTTGAATTCGTATAAGGTAACATGGGCAGCGGTGATTAGAATTTCTTCGACAAACGGATCGATTCGCTGCAGCACCGTCAAATTCAGCACCTTCGTACTCTTTTCATCCAGATTCGGCATCAATTTCGCGTTTTGCGACATTCTGTATACTCCTACCCTCTCTCAATAGATATAGGCGTATATAAATATAGTCTACAGAGCTATGAATCTAGAGAGAGTTAAAGAGAGCAGACGAAACAGCAGGACTCTTTGGCTTCTCAAACGTGTGTATTTATAATACACGACCCAC